ATGTTTACATTATTTTATCATTTTAATTTATTATATTTTATTTAAGTTAGTTTTCTTCATTAAATTTACATAAAAAATGCTCTTTTTCCATGTTGTTCCAAACCTGTATGACTAGATGTGGAACACAAAATAAGATATTTTGAGAAATGTCTCAGTGTTTTGTTGTCTGTACAATAGAAGTCAGTGGTAACCAAAACTGTTTGGTTGGCAGCATGGTTTCTAGGCAGTTCAGGGTGGTTGCTAGGATGTTCTAGGTCGTTTCTAGGGTGTTGCTAGGAGGATACAGCATGGTTGATAGCGTGTTCTAAATGGTTTCTAGGTGTTGCTAGGATGCATGGTGGTTGCTTGGAAGTTCTGGATGGTTGCTAGGTTGTTCTCAGATCTCCTAACCAGTCGTGTGAAGTACTAACCGCACACGGTCAGAGGAGACTCCAGCTCTTTAGCATGCATGCGTGTGATTTATAAGCATCTCTCGTCTCCAGCTATCATCGATTAGCACTGAGTAATTCCTAGACGTGCCATATAACTATAACACGCATTCAGGTCTTCCGATAGTCTGATGATTGATGGCGTTCAGTGCCGCAGGGCCCGAGAGCCGCAGCCCATCTGACTGACACGACTGGTGCTTTAATTCACCAGAAGACTCGCTCGTAAGTTTGAGGCGTCACTCAAAGTCTGTCCACAGCTGATTACTGCCGCTCGCCTCGACTGAGAACCCATCAAACAGGCTTGAGGAGGAAAAAAAAAAAGAAATGCTTTAAACGGTCAGAAGTTCAGCTAAAAACCGAAAGTATGTCTTATTTGCCTTTCAATGTTCTTAAAATTGAGCATGCAGAGACATCATGAGTGAATCATTAAAAGACTGAGAAGTTTTTAGAACAGCAGGTCTTGTGCACTAAGCGTGATGCCTGCGCGCAAACACTTTCACCAAAAAAATCATGATTCATCGATAACTTTTGAGCTAAAATGTATTCTATATATATATATATATATACCAAAAGTGTTGGAACAACTGAACCACAAAAATCACATACTCTGGGTGTTAGATAGCGATGAAATGGAAGTAGCAACAAATCTTTTATCCTATATTGTACCATGCATCTGAGTGTTTTATACATAGATGTTTAATCTTAAATATTTCATAATATATATGTGTATGTATTTTATAGTATATATGGTAGTGTTATATATATGTATAATAAATATAAATAGATTTGGAATAATTAATGGTATGAAAGAAGTCTCTTCTGCTCAGCAAGGCTGCATTTATTTGATCAAAATACAGTTAAATTGTGAAATATTATTCCAATTTAAAATAACTTTTCTATGTGAATATCTGTTAAACTGTAATTTATTTCTGTGATGCGCAGCTGTATTTTCAGCATCATTACTCCAGTCTTCAGTGTCACATGATCTTCAGAAATCATTCTAATATGCTGATTTGCTGCTCGAGAAACATTTCTGATTATTATCAATATTGATATTGTGTCCCTCTGTGTGATGTCTGCATGTCTGTACAATAGAAGTCAGTGGTAACCAAAACTGTTTGGTTGGCAGCATGGTTTCTAGGCAGTTCAGGGTGGTTGCTAGGATGTTCTAGGTCGTTTCTAGGGTGTTGCTAGGAGGATACAGCATGGTTGATAGCGTGTTCTAAATGGTTTCTAGGTGTTGCTAGGATGCATGGTGGTTGCTTGGAAGTTCTGGATGGTTGCTAGGTTGTTCTAGGTGGTTGCTAGGATGCATGGTCGATTGCTAGGAGGTTACATCATGGTTGCTAGGGTGATCTAGGTGGTTGCAAGGGTGTTGCTAGGATGCATGGGTGGTTGCTTGGAAGTTCTGGATGGTTGCTAGGTTGTTCTAGGTGGTTGCTAGGATGCATGGTTGATTGCTAGGAGGTTACATCATGGTTGCTAGGGTGATCTAGGAGGTTGCGAGGATGTTGCTAGGATGCATGGGTGGTTGCTTGGAAGTTCTGGATGGTTGCTAGGGTGTTCTAGGTGGTTGCTAGGGTGTTGCTAGGATGCATGGGTGATTGCTAGGAGGTTACAGCATGGTTGCTATGGTGATCTAGGTGGTTGCTAGGATGCATGGTCGATTGCTAGGAGGTTACATCATGGTTGCTAGGGTGATCTAGGTGGTTGTGAGGGTGTTGCTAGGATGCATGGGTGGTTGCTAGAGTGTTCTAGGTAGTTTCTAG